TCTCATAAGTTGAAAGTTCGTAGTTGTATCATTTTCATGTTTATTAAAAAACTATTCATTTTTAAAAGTCAGTTTTTTGAAGATTGTTTGGTAAAACCTACCTATGATTTGTTCTTTGTCTTGATTGATTAATTCATATGTTGAAGGGGATGTACTACTTACTTTATCTCCGATATATATTTCGTTTCTGTAACAGGTTTGTGAGAAGAATATTGAATCAACTTTTACCTTCATAGGAAAAATAATTTCAATTAGAGCTTTACTTAGGAAAGAAAACGATTATGGAAAACCAGATAATCAAATAAGATATTTTTATCTTTGCTGTAAATCCATATTTTTTAAATTCATAAATTATTGATTCACTACCATTTCATCTTCATGACTCAAATTTCTAAATGGGAGATTAAAATAATATGATTTATTTCTTTCCTTCAGTTTGTTTCCTAATACAGTTATATTTTTTTTACTGTTTTAAAACTTCGTTATTGATAATAGTTATCTGTTGTTAAATAACACCCTCATCAATATTTTGTATTTGTTGTTGAATATAAGTTTTAATTTTGCTTTCATCAATATTTTGTATTTGTTGTTGAATATAGGTTTTAATTTCACTATCATCAATATTTTGTATTTGTTGTTGAATATAGGTTTTAATTTCACTATCATCAATATTTTGTATTTGTTGTTGAATATAGGTTTTAATTTCACTATCATCAATATTTTGTATTTGTTGTTGAATATAGGTTTTAATTTCACTATCATCAATATTTTGTATTAGTTGTATAATATTTGTTAGTTCTTTTTGTAATTCAGTGTTAAATTTAGTTTCCAGAGCAGTTAATTCCTGTTGAAATGTATCTTCATTTTTACCTGGAGCAGCAATGTTATCTATTTTTTGTTTTGTAATGTTATCATCTAATTGAGATATCGATGAACTTAAATTTTGTAACTGAATTTTGTTCACTACATTGACTAATTGTTGTTGAATACAACTTTTCAAACTTGTTACTTGTTGATGTTTGAAGTATCTTTTCGCATCACTTATTTTATCTTCTAAATGGTTTTTATCTACTTCAATTGAATTGATTTGATCCAGTAAATATTTCTTATGAACAGCATCATTATCAATTTCAAGAGGACTTTCAATTAGTTTTAAATTGTTCATATCTATATCATCTTTAAGTGTGTCTCCAATTTGATCCACAAAATAATGTTTTGCTTTATTTATCCATGCTGTGGTGTTAGGTTTTTTAGTATCTAAAGGTAAAGAACCTATCCAAATTTATTTATATAAAGTTAAATTTATTATAAATTCTCCAAACTGTTTTCCTAAGCTTAACTGATATAAAACCCAAAGTGAAAGTTGTCCACAAAACTATTGTCCTGGCATTTGAATTTGAAATGTAGATCATTTAATTGGTTGATAAGTCAATTTCATTATCTCTTCAGTTGGTTCTAATCTAAAAGAATCAAAGGAATAAAGGTTATTTAAAAAATCCTTGTATAAAGCAGAGTGATGAACTTCTTTTTGATCGGAAGTATGTATATTTGTTATAGCATAAAATTTACCTTTCTTATCCTTGAGGTCATTTATTTCATTGCATACAATAATAAAACGGTGATATATGTAAATTGTTTGCCCATCTGATAAGTTGAAAGTTTGTAATTGTATCATTTCCATATTTATCAAGAAAACTATTCACTTTTAAAAGTCTTTTTTAAGTTCATTTTCATAAAACCTACCTATGATTTGTTCGTTGTCTTGATCGGTTAATTCATATGTTGGAAGTGATGTGTTATTTAATTCATCTGCAATAAATATTTCGTTTGTCCAATAACCAATAACGTAACCCTTCTCGAATTTACTTTTATATTTGAAATTACGAACTCGGTCTCCAACTTGATACTTTTCCTTAACGTGTAAATCTTTTATTTCATTTTCAAAATTATTAAGGGTAGAAGACTACTTTATAATATCTGGATTTTTACTAGCTTCCATTGGAGAAACACCGATGGAAGAATGAATTTTATTATTGTATTCCGATACTACATGAGTAAAATCTTTAACCATTTTTGAGACTTTACTTCTGTGAAAACAATTTTGATTTAAGCGTTTTGTTAAATCTTTCTATTACTACAGCTTTTCCCTTGTTAAGAGTACTGTTAATTTCAAACCCGAGTGATTGTTTTATGATCACTTCAAAAGCATGCTTGACTGATAATCCTGTTTTGTTTTTTAGAGGAAAAAGCCATGCATATCTTGTATATAAATCTATTAAACAATATTCAAAAACCAGCTGACCATATTTCATCTTTGTCAAATACTTTAACTTTTAAATAATGTTTGTTTTTTCTAAATTCTTTATGAATTTCATCTGCTAATCCCATACCCAATTTCATCTTTGCTTTTACCAGTTTTATAATCAGCGCTCTTTCCATTTTCTCTTTAAGTTGGATTTGGAATATTTTCAAGTTCGTTTATCATTTGTTTGTCTGCTTCATGTCTGAACTGTATGTCTTTATTTCTGTATAATATATTATGTTTAAGTGCAGCAGCATCAGCTCTATTGAAAGGTTCTTTACCTGATTTGGGTTTATCGTTTTCGTCTAATCGAAGATCTAACCTTGTGTCTGGTCCAGTATAATTATGACCTGGAAACCTGAAAGATGTTCTTCTCCAGGATATTTTGCCCATGGAAATCCAGGAAGAGAACCTAATGATTTATATACGCCCACATGATATGGGGGGCGAATATTGCCGTCACCCATGTCCATTGGTCTAGTAAGTAAATAATAGAACTGTATTAACTTGAAAGAATACTACGTATCTTCCAAAGCGAAGTGTCGATGTTAAAGATAGATAGTCTCCGGAAAATGTTAATTTGCTAAATTTGCATTGGCCAATCTTAGTATTATAAATTCAGAAATTTGAAAGTATTAACTGTTTTACGGTAAAACATAAAATGGGTGAATAATTATATTCATCTTGTTGCAATGTATCACTTTCTCAAATGAAAATGGCTTTCGTCATGACTTGTAATTTAAGTTTCTTTGAAATTTTGGCTAAAGATAACAATTGCTTGTGATTTTAGGAATCTAAATATGTGTTTCAAACAACAACTATACCTTCAAATAGGCCAACATTTATGCAAATATCTATCTTTAATTCTTGAAGTGCTATATTAAA